ACAGGGGGGGGGGGGGGGGGGGATGACAGGGGCGGATCAGACTCCCCCCTGCTCACGGCCCCCCGTGCCGGCCCAGACAAGCAGCATGAGGTGGAGATCCCCTCGGCGCTGGCCAAGGACAAGGAGAAGGAGCGGAGGAAGCGTCCCATGTCCCAGATCAGCGGCGTCAGGAAGCTCACGCACGGCTCCAGCCTCGCCGCCGCCGGCATTCCCCGCTTCGGGGTGCGGACGGACCAGGAAGAGCTGCTGGCCAAGGTGGGCCCCAGTGTGGGTGAGCCAGCCGGCCGTGGGGTCCCTGGCACTGGCCCTGCATGGACCTCTGTCCCTCTGGTTCCCAGGAACTGGAGAACATCAACAAGTGGGGGCTCAACGTGTTTAAAGTTGCCGAGTACTCAGGCAACCACCCGCTGACGGTCATCATGTACAGCATCTTCCAGGTGAGCATCCCAACGGGATGTCCCTGTCCTCATGCCCAGATGGGGATGAGCCACCTCCCACCTCCCCGCAGGAGCGTGACCTGATGAAGACCTTCCGCATCCCCGTCAACACCTTCATCACCTACATGCTGACGCTGGAGGACCACTACCACGCCGATGTGGCCTATCACAACAACATCCACGCCGCCGATGTGGCTCAGTCCACCCATGTCCTCCTCTCCACGCCCGCGCTGGAGGTGAGCCCTGGTCACCCAAGGCCACCGAGGCCACCAAGTGTGTCTGGCAGGGCCATAACACATCTGCAATGCCTTTTTCCACCACTCCTAGGCTGTCTTCACAGACCTGGAGATCATGGCTGCCATCTTTGCCAGTGCCATCCATGATGTTGACCACCCTGGTGTCTCCAACCAGTTCCTCATCAACACCAGTGAGCTGGGGTGCAAGGATGGAGCTGGGGGGGCATGGGGGGCCCTGGTGTCCAGGAGCCACCCCAGGGTGACCGGTGCCGTCTCACAGACTCAGAGCTGGCGCTGATGTACAACGACGCCTCGGTGCTGGAGAACCACCACCTGGCCGTGGGCTTCAAGCTTCTCCAGGAGGAGAACTGCGACATCTTCCAAAACCTGAGCAAGAAGCAGAGGCAGTCACTCCGCAAAATGGTCATCGACATGGTACGGGAGGGCCCGGACCACCCCAGGGTGGGCTGGGGGACTTTGTGGTGGGGTCAGGCTGAGCCCCGTTCCTGGCTTGCTCTGCCCAGGTGCTGGCCACGGACATGTCCAAGCACATGAATCTGCTGGCGGATTTGAAAACCATGGTGGAGACCAAGAAGGTGACCAGTCTGGGGGTGCTGCTGCTGGACAACTACTCTGACCGGATCCAGGTGGGCGCGGGTGGGGAAACCTTCCTGGCGTTGCAGGCATAGGTCCTGGCTCTGGCCAGGGCTGCCGGGATGTCCTGTTTGGTGCCACCGCCCCTCCCAACCCCAGGTGGCCATGGCCAAGGGGGTTCCTGGCACAGGGGTGGTGGCCCTGGGGGACAAAACATGTTGGGTAAGCGATGCCGTGGCTGTGTCCGCAGGTCCTGCAGAACATGGTGCACTGCGCCGACCTCAGCAACCCCACGAAGCCACTGGAGCTGTACCGGCAATGGACCGACCGCATCATGGTGGAGTTCTTCCGCCAAGGTGACCGGGAGCGGGAGAAGGGGATGGAGATCAGCCCCATGTGTGACAAACACACTGCCTCCGTGGAGAAGTCCCAGGTGGGGCAGCGGCGTGGGGCCGGGGTGGGGGGCCGCAGGGCCAGGCTGGGGGCTCAGCTCTGCCTTCCTCCAGGTGGGCTTCATTGACTTCATCGCCCACCCGCTGTGGGAGACGTGGGCCGACCTGGTGCACCCCGATGCCCAGGAGATCCTGGACACGCTGGAGGACAATCGGGAATGGTACCAGAGCGTGATCCCGCGCAGCCCATCCCCACCACCTGAGGGACCTGGAGTGTCCCCTGCCACCACCGACAAGTTCCAGTTTGAGCTGACGCTGGAGGAGGAGGAGGAGGGTGAGTCGGACACGGAGCTGGAGGGGACCGAGAGCCCCTTGGATGAGGACAACAGCGGCTCCAAGACACCAGCCACAGATGACTCGGAGTTGGCTGACACCGAGCACCTGTCACTGGGCCCCGGGAACCAGGACTCGCCTGTCACCCGCCCCAGGGATGTGGACAACCGTCGGGCGCTGGAGGGGACGCTACCGAAGGATGGCGGTGGCAGCGGACGCTCGGTGCTGGGGCCCGAGGGCAGCCAGGGGCTGTGCCTGGACACGGAGGGCAACGTCACATTCCTGCCCCTGGGCACGTAGCAGCACTGGCCAGTAGGTCCCCTTGCTGCCGCGGGGACGTGGGACTGGGTGCTGCCCCGGCGAGTGCTCCCTGCCCGTGGGCTGGCAGCAGAGAGCACCGGCACCACAGGGAGTGGGGCGGCTGCCGGGACGCAGAGGGACCCAAAGCGTGTCCCCGTGTGGGAGCTGGGCAGGTCCTCATGGGCACGAGGACACTGCTCGCTCTCTCCCAGCGACTGTCCCCGGCTCCCACCCAGCGTCGCCGTGTACAGCTGCTGGGAAAGGTCCCTGTCCCCTTCAGACAGGGCTTGGGGACCCTGTGCTCCTGCCCCAGCCCAGCCCTGGGGACACCATGCCCCACAGGGCTCTGGGGAGAGGTCTCCCACGGGGCCAGGCACAGCCGAAAGCATTTCAGCGTCTCTCCGGGTGGCCCCTCGCAGAACAGCAGCCCCAGGGTGGGATGGCGAGGTGGGCGCGGGGTGCTGGTGACAGCCCCCAGCACGAGGGACCTCAGTGCGGCCAGGCACCGAGGCACAGAGCACGGGCATGAGTCAGTGGTTTGTTTATTTATTTGGGGACAGGCTCACTTTTTAAAGCCTTTTGTAGCTCACTTTTTAATACAAGCCTCACCTAGGCACACTCACATGCGCTCCTGTGGCAGAAAGACGCGTTTCTGCTCTGTGATCAGCACTCGAAATGCTGCGTTTGTACTTTGCACTTCGCACTTCGGGCCCCGGCAGGTGCCGTGACCCCCACGTCTCTGCAGGGGCCGGGGCAGCCCCCGGGGTCCTTTTGGTTTCTTCCTTCACCTCCCAGAGATTAAACCTGGTTTGTTCCCCCCCAAACGCGAGCCTTGTAAGTGTCTCTTTACTGTGCCGCTGCTGCAGGAGCTGTGGTCATGCCGGTTGGGACAGTGTCCCCAGGGACCAGCGCTGTTGGTGGCCCCGTCTCCTGCCGGGCACTGGCGAGGGCCCTGCTCTGTGTTTGAACAAAAGCGAGCTCCTCCCTGGAAACGTCGATCCATCACTGGCAAACACAACCGGCTAAGGTAAATATTTAATCGCCGGCTTGGCGCGGCGCAGAGCCCGTTCCCTCGCTCCACGCGGGGCCCCGCCAGCTCTCGCCCACCACCCGTCCCCTGCTTCCCCATCGGCAGCGGGGTCGTGGGAGCCAGGTGCTCCTTTCCCAGCCCAGCCGGTTTCCAGGGCTCGGCCGGGAGTGCCGGGTGCCGCAGGGGCTGGCGGGTGGCGCTGTGCCGTCCCCGCCTCGCGGGCGGGTGCTCGGCATCCCCTCGCCTCTCTCAATGGAGAGGGGCTGTGCGCTGGCAGGTTGGTAGGGACCAGACGAGGCTCTGTGCTCCCAGAGCTCCCTGAATGGCCTCATAGAATCACAGAATTGTTTAGGTTGGAAAAGACCCTTCAGCTCATCGAGCCCAACCGTTAACCCAGCACTGCCAAGCCCACCACTAAACCACGTCCCTAAGCACCACATCTACACGTCTTTTAAATACCTCCAGGGCTGGGGACTCAACCACTGCCCTGGGCAGCCTGTGCCAGGGCCTGACAGTCCTTTTGGTGAAGAAATTTTCCCTAATATCCAATCTAAAGTCACCCGTCTCACAAGCACGCCTTGCATGCTGCCCGTACAGCCCTCCTGTGAGGATGGTATGGTGTCCTGCTTCCCTCTCGGGCTGTCTGTAGCTCAGTGCCTTTTCTCCTCCTGCTCCTGCAATGTAAAGACTTCCTTGCCTGCTCTGTAAGCAGGGGATGTGTTGCAGAGGGAGGATGAGGCCGGGAATTGGGGAGGCATGGCGGTACCAAACTCCTGCTGACAGAGGGACCAGGACATTCTGGTCCGGTGGCCGTCTCTCTGAGAGCCCCGGCGCCCTCACCTGCGCTTCTGCCCTCTAACCCCCAAGCTTCGAAATCATGCTCCATCCATATTTCATGTTTTATTGCTTACACTGTAGGCCTGTCGATGCTGCTTTCACATCTGCCCTGGGTGCCAGCCCGATGTTTTATTACCATCGGAGGCTCAAAAGCACCTCCGTGCCATCAGGCATTGGCACAGGCTGTCCAGGGAAGCGGTGCAATCACCGTCCCTGGGAGTATTCAAAAAACGTGTGGATGTGGCGCCTAGGGACAGGGTTTAGAGGTGGACCAGGCGGTCAGGTTAACGGTTGGACTCGATGATCTCAGAGGTCCTTTCCAACCTTAACGATTCTATGATTCTGTACCACGTTGGCCCATCCACGCTTCTATAGGATGGCTCATGCTGCACTCAGATCCGGCCCCAGGCTCTCTGCCAGGCTGGGAGCGGGGCGGGAGCTGGTTAAAAAAACCCCTTTTCTCCCTTTGCTTGGCTGAGGGGCTGCAGCATCCATGCAGGATGGAGATGGGGGGTGGTGGAGGAGGGATGGAGGGAGGGTGGTGGAGCCCATGCCTGGAGGAGGTGGTGGCAGCACCCATGGTGGCTGGATCCATCCCTGCCTCCCGGTCGTGCCCGTGACTGCCCGTGCTGTCCCGCTGCCTCGGGGGGCTCCAGTCCCACCCAGCTGGCTCCAGGCAGAGCCAGGGGTGTCCGGCTCTGTCCTCCCACGGGCCGTGGCAGCCCGGTGAGTCCCTGCGGTGGCGAGGAGCTGCACCACAGGCCCTTGAGTCCCCAGCGTCCCAGAGGCAGGGCAGGGCCAGCCTAGGAGGCTCCTGGGGCCTGCGGGCTTCGGGCAGGGCAGAGGCAGGCCCGGGCGAGGGCCAGGCTGGTGGGGAGGGGAGCGCCACTGCCCCGGGGCCTGTGGAGCCCCAGGCCCGGCCCCGCCGCCCTCCCGCGGGGCCGGCGT